CACCCCTCAGCTTTGTCTCCAGCACTGCCAAGGCAAGGACATGCCTCACACCCTCATCCCCACAGAGGGGTCCCCCCCCAGGAAGGTGCCATAGCAGGATCCTTCTGCCCTCACCAGCCTGAAGCCCCACAGTGATTTTATTTAGGTGCTTGTATTTGTCTCATTTTCTCCCTGAAATCCTGCGTGGGCTATGGATTATCGCTGTTCCTTGGTTTAGGCAGGGGTGACATGATTTCTAAACATATTCCTTCTCAATAAAAAGGTGACAAATAAGTTTAACCCATTACCATTTGAACAGGTAATTTTGTTTCCGTGAGTTATGATTCATCTTTCTCCCTCTCAGAATCAAATCTGCCATTCAGGTGCCTTCCTGTGAGGTATGGTCAGGGCCTTAATCCGTCATTTCCTCTGCAAGAAGGCCTCTGGCTAGAAAACAAAGTTTGATGTATGAAACACTTCAATTTTCCCAGAATATCCAAGTTTTCGATGCATCAGATGTAGGGTCAAGGGATTTTTTCTTTATTTCCTTTCAGATATTTAAGTGTGCTTTGAGCATGTTCCTTTTGCTTCAGGTATGTTTAATAACTTTATTTATATGACATTCTCAACAGAAGTATTCAGCAAGAAGCTAGAATCAGCAAGGACAGCATACAAATTAAAGGAAGCAAAACTCTTTAATAAAGAGTTGTAGATCTATTTAGATGAATACACTGAACTTTAGAGATGCCGCCGAATATCAGTGCAGCCTACATGAAACATGTCTGGTAACAAATGCTGTTCTGCTTCTCCAGCCCTACCCCTATTATCCTGTTATTGAGATTAATACTGATATTAAAACAGCAACTGGTTGAAATACCTGGATGGGACTTTTTGAGCCTCCTCTGCCCTGTGCTTCAATAGCATTAGCTTTGCATTCAGAATCAATACTGAATTTTCAGTACCACATAGAGAGCCTCCCCTGGCAGTCCTAATAACATGTTTGTTTTAGCTAAATAGTGACACCGCATTCATCAGGGCATTGGCTTTCAAAACAGTCCTGAAGGTAATGCTGCATTTTTACTAAATGCTCAATTTAAGTCCAAGTGGTTTTCTCTATTACAGCATGTGTATTAGTGTCCAGCAAGGGCACTTGAGGATAGAAGGGTCACCATATGGAGACACAAGTCTTGCTCCAGAGACCAAACATTCTTAATAGAAAAGACTGATAGAGTAAATAGGGCAATAGTTCAAGAAGCCTCTTGGTTCAGCATAAGATGCAAACATTGCAATGCAGCATTAAAATGTCACACTGACTTAAATATGTGGCTCGCTGCCATTTCTTTGGATGTTTATGTAGCTGCCCAGCACTGAAGAGTAGAGACCACTACATTATTAACCTCTTCGTGGTGCACCAAGTGCCTGTATCTTATGTTAGTGCCTCTTAAGAGATCAACTCTACACAATTCCGTAAGTTATGGGCTAGCATTTATTATCGGAGTAGTTTAACAGAGTAAAGCTATTAGAGGAAAAAGTAACAAAATCTCATAGCTGAGACAAGGTTGGGAACCCAGAAAAGTAGGTTGCTTTACAAACCACACCATACACTTCAGTTTTCATTCAGTAAAGTGGAAAGACAGACTCCTCATGTTAAAATAAAGCTGCAAATGTCTACGTAGCCACAAACAGTTGTGAAAGCTTTGCCAGAGTGAGTGGAAGAGGTGGAAGCGTTACTTTAGGATAGCCCAGACTCCCAGCACCTACAAGAGGCAGAGGGCAATTCCTTGAGTTTTGTCCTGGGAATTCAGAAGGGTCATTCCCCAGGATGTCCTCAGGAACTCAGCACTGGTGGCACAGAGGGTCCTTTGTGAGCATCAGACTGAATCCTCTTGGGACTCCAGGAGCCTCCAGGGCTGGTTTTCCCATTTAAGAGCAGCCCCAAGAGGCCAGGGACTGCTCTTATCACAGCCAGAGCCCCCGGCCCAGGCATCTACAGCTAAGGGTTCCCATACCAGCCCCTATGAATGAGCTTGTCCTAGAGTTCTGCTCCTCATGCAGAATATTTTTCTTTCCTCTCTCTCCAATGTGACTGCTTTTCATGAAGGGAGAAGAACAGAACCTGTAGGTGATTAGAAAAAAAAAACACTTGGGATGCAATGCCTGAGTCCACTGCTCTAACCCACCCCTTGCCAACAGGACTGAGCCCACCCATCACTCCATGCCCACCACTTTGGGGCCTCCTTCCCAGGCAACTTCTTGTGGCTTGGATTGGCAGAATCAGCCTACTTCCACCCCCCTCCTAAGTGATTAAAAAAGGAGATGCAGGATGAAGACAAACAGAGCAATTGTATAACTGCAGAGATGTCATCAACAGGAGATTTCAGAGCCTTGTGCAGAAATCACAAGTTTTACTGCCTCTTGCCCCAGAGTGCCACATCCTGCTGCACTGAAGGAAATGACTACAGCAACTGAAGGCAATTTGCTGCAGTCTCAGAAGAACGATCAAGCAGACACAGCATTAACGATGGCCCAAGCATTCACTGACAGAACAAAAATAAAATCCCAAACCCAGGAGGGGCTCCTCAGTGGGACAAGGCACACGAGGGGAATGCTCGAAGAGGGTGGAGAAGCCCCGCTGCCAGGCCATTACTTCTCCAGAGTCACAGCACTTCCTATCAGCAGCAGCTTCTCTCCTCCATATTTGCAATTTTTCATGCTCTTGCAATATAAACAGTAATGACTATGGGTAAATGTTAGCTTTCAATGACAACCACTGTATGTATGGATTTCATACAGTTTACTTTCAGTGTTTTGGTTAAAAGGTCAGAGTAGTGCTCAAATATTTGGAAGAGGCATGAAATTTATAGCACCTAAAAAATTACAGTGCATAGTAAACACACATGTACCCTATTTATATGTCTATACATATAAAGAGAAACAGCATGGCCTTGGCAGCTAATTTGTTCCTGCCAGAATGCAGGACACAAGGAGCAACCTCCTGTGTGCACAGCTTCACCCCTCGATGCTCTTTGTAAGCGCCCTCGTTCCATGGCACACATTAAGCTAATGCATATTTCTGTTTACATTATCTTTATTTAATTAAATGCCGCTTTTCATACACTCACACTATTTAGCTGACACTCACAGCTCTCCCTCTGAATTGAGGAAAATTTCCTTTCTGTGGCCCCTTCTCCAGATGTTTTTGTCCTTCGGCAGCGATGCAGGATAAATCCAGCTGCGGGAGAAGCCGGCGGCACGCCTGAAGCCGTCCCCATGCAGGGCACAGCACAGCGCCTGCCCCAAGGAGCTGCATCAGGATGGGGCTGGGGGGGGGCAGCGCTGTGCCCCCAGCATCCAAGGGCTTGGCACTTGATCACCAAGAACAGCAGTATGAAACATGGGCAGAGCGGGACAGTCAGCCAAGGGAGATGTGGCCATGCAAATAGGGTTGAAGCCTGCTGCCAACCTGCCCTATGTGCAACCCAGTGCCCACCCTGCACCCACCTCCAGCAGGGCTTTGCTGGGGGCTGGTGGACAGGAGGGAGCCGATGTGCCTGGCCTCGCTAGCACGTACAAGAGCAACTCCATGAAAGTTTAATTATGATTAATAAAAGGATTGCAGCTGCAGCTTGGATTTTGACATTATAAAGCTCATTTCTCCAGTCATTCCAAGAATGACTTAAGTTCACTGCTTGCAGTTCCAGCTTTGGTTCAGACACAGCACCCGGTGGTAACAAGCCTGGCCTCTTCAGAGGTCTCCTCCTGATAAAGCAGAGCCTTCAGATTTCACAAAGTAAAACAGCTGTATTTAGTGAACTCAAAGCAAGAGTGTGTTTATTATTAGTAGTAAGAGAAACAATACATTCAGTTTCACAAGTTTTCCCTACACAAAACTAGCAAAAAAAAAAAAAATAGAAAAGTAAAAGCTTCTGACCTCATTTACTAGGAAATGGGGAAGGCTTCCAATTCTGAACAAACTCAGCACAAGCAGAACAATGCAAATAGATGAAGATTACCTATAAAGTCACTTGTTCATAAGACCAATGTATGATTTGTGGGATTAGCCCAATTATCTTCACAATTTCTCTATACAACACATACCCCACAAGCCACATCCTCTGTGCTTGCAGATACAGCCCTAAAACAGCTATTGCTTCTGCCCTCTTTGTTACCACAAAACATAATTGTAGGCTTCTGCTCTAAGATGTTGAAGTTATCCCAAAGATTAATCAAATTGTTTTTCAGGAATATCCAAATTCTGAGCGAGAATGCCCAGTGGATTCAGCCTCTGCCCTTTCTGCTGCAGCATACCAGCTGCCACTGTGGCTGAGCTGCTTCAGAGGAAGGGCACTGGAGCTGTCACTTGTCTCTGCAAGTTTTTAAAGAGACTGATACTTCCTAGGTTGGTAAGTTACCAAGAGGAGGAAAACTTAACAATAAACTTCAGGATTCTTTGCGTGGAAAGCATTTTTAGAAGCTCATAATCAGAATATCATGGTCATTTTGACTTACATCATCTCTTGCTCTCTGGTTTATTTTTAGAATTTTAGTTGCCATAACAACATAAAGTATTTTACTACATGGTCTATATACCGACAAGAGTTTGTTCTTTCCTTAGCACCCAGTAGAGCCCTGGCTGCCACCAGCACACCAGGGGGAAGAACAGGGCAGCACCAGCACGCAACAGCAGCGTGCCATGCATGGGCAGCAAGGAGAAACCCCACAGCCAGGATGAAGCTGCAGTACCCTGTGCACATGGAGCATGAAGCACTTGGAGAGGCAAGGGGCCAGAGGAGCTGACAGCTAAAGGAGAACACCAAAGCCTGGCAGGGAACACACAACACCCCACGGGATGCAGCAGCCACCCTCACCCCGCTTGCAGCAGGACACACACAGACCCAGAACAGAGCTACTGAACAAGCTCCCCCCTGGCGCCGTTCAGGCCTGCTCACCATCCAACAGTTTCAGACCTGTTCTCTTCTGGGTTGCAACAGCCATCACGCAGCCCCCAGCAAAGCCCTTACCTGAAGCCAAGCCTCTCTGCAGGCACAAAGGGACCCTTCAGAGAGAAGCAAGCCCCCCTGGCTGGCTGCACAGATAAGCACGGCCATGTGGAGGGGACGCCCCTGTGCAAATGGACCACACCTGCATGGATGGGGCACACCTGCAGCCTCTCCCCCCCCCTCTGAAGCAGCACACTGCCCAACCTGTAAGCATCACAAACTGCAAACAATCAACTAATTAGCAGCGCGGAGCACTGCTCAGGGCATGCTGTGATGGTGTCTGTCCCAGGACCCTGCAGCAGCCCGGGGCTGGACCTGCAGCGCTCTCCTCACTGCCATCCTGCCTTGCTCAGCTCCCAGGGCCTCATCCTCTCTGCTTGCCTACCCTGCTTGCTTGTGACCTTTTGAATATATATTTTCACTAGTAAATAGCGCTGTTGCTGTAGCCACGATGACCCAAGACTATAAGCAAGGAACGAAGGGATGCAAGAGTGCCTCTTGTGCTGACGCTGACTGTGTACAGCTGGGACCGGGGGGGCTTGTTAAACCTCCTCCCGCCTGCCAGACTGCTCACAAGGCACAGGGCAAAGGGCAACACGCGGGAGTGGAGGAGCAGAGGCTCAGCCCCTCAGTGGCATGGTTTTTACTGGTGCAATGAAAGCAGGACTGGGGGGCTTTCAGGGGGATCTCTGCGGGCTGCTGCAGTGGGCTGTGGCAGCACCTCCTTGGCACTAGTTGTGTACACAGACTGCTTATTGTTTCAAAACATGCCTTATCTGAAATGCACGTCTTCTGCTTAATCAGTACTTTGCTTCCCAAGCGCTGTCTGGTCACCAGGTAACTGGAGGAAGGGAGCTGTGAATGCTGAACCCAACTCAGACTGCTGAACAATTGCTAAATACAGTTCTCAAATGTTTTCAAGCACTTACTCTCCTCTATGTATCTTTCTTGCAAGAAAAAAAATGACAGTTATTTGCAAACAAAAGAAACCCGAGGCAGTGACGGCGGGTTAGTGAGCTGTTTCGCATCAGTGTGCCAAAGCTGTGCCGCCGGCAGCCCCCGCGGCAGCTCAGCCTTCCCCGGGGGTCTTTGCGGGGCCGGCTGCACTCAAACCCAGCGCGCAGCTGAAGTAAACACATTCCGTTTTCAGGCAACCGAAGGACTTTAATTAAAACCAGCGAAAAGAGTTTTAAGTATAGAAAATACTGGTCTTCTCCAAAATTATTTGTTCTGCCTGAAAGCTAACGCTGCTTTAAGTCTGTTTTTGTAAGTCTCTTGGACCTGAATTATGGCATATTAATTACGGCCAGAGGCAACGAAGAAGTGTTATTCCTTTCCAAAGAAGATGGAGAAACTCAGTTAAAAATAGATTATAAGGCAGTGCTGTCAGGAACAGGCATTCTCCTGCCTCCGCTGGATTTCTGTTTTCCATAGAACAAAGAGGAATTTGCTCACAGAACATATGGAATTTGTGTATTACTCAGCATAATTAAGTGTAACTGCTTAAATGAGTGCAGTGACTGTGGAGGTCACTGGAGCAGCCATTAGCTTCTCCCTGCTAAGTCAGTCATTGGTTCTGCGAGGAGGCAGTTGGCCAAAAAATCATTATCCTCCCCCACCCCCTTTTTTATTATGGTTACACGGATTTTTTAACTTCTGTTGGAAAGGATGAGAAGCAGCTGTATGCACATCGTAACACCCGAAGGAGAGGAGCGGCGTGTAGGGCTGCATTAGCAGTACTGGGCAAAATGTGCTGGAAGGTCCGAAATCAGCCCTGGAGAACCTGATCCCAGTGATCCGTCGGGCTCTTGTAGGACCGATGTCACCTGGAGACGTTGCTGAACTTCTCCAGGAAAGGAGCACAGAACCAATAAATGCCTGCCACCTCCTCTGGAAGAAGAAAGGAGTTTTCTTTAAAAACTTTAGCCATATAGCCAATGGAAACTTTTGCTAATTCTCAGACCAAGGGAGGATCTCTGTCCTTACGCTGAGGCGGAGGGGTGCTCCCGGTGCACCACCGCTCCTTCAGCGCCGCGTGTCGGGCCCGCGGCTTCATCCAGCACCACCGAGAGGATGTCCTGGCTCGGTGCCCCCGGCCACCTCCCTGTCCCCGCAGTGTTTTTGTGGCTCTGCCTCAGTGCTGAGGCGAGGGAGCGGAGCCGGCTGCAGAGGAGCCCGGCGGCGCTGGGGAGCCCCGGGCGGGCGGCACACGGGGCGCGGGGCCGGCGTGCACCGACTGCCATCTCGTGGCCTGACGGAGCGGGCACTCCGTGTTCTTGGGCTGGTTTTTAGCTCTCACAGTGGTTTTGTGTCCAGCAGCGCCCGAGGATTTAGGCGGAAGGCTCAGGGGGGTGGAGGACACCGACCCTACCTGGACGCTGCCCCACCGCTGCTCTGGGCTCGCCTTACCTTTCCTCCTGCTGCCTGCAACGTCCCCAGTGGGTTGGGGATCAAGTTATATTTGCTCTGCTTTTTTCCCTTATTGATCTTGTGTTTTAACTTTTCAGGATATTTTGCTTAAAAAGCAAGGCCAGAGTGAATTTGTGAGAAATGTTTGGAACCCTCTGGTTCATTATTGGTGCTCCTTCTCCTAGAACAATTCCACATCAGTGGTGAAGGATGCTCCAGTCCTGCTCACGCTTTACACAGGACATTTTGGGGAACCTCCCAGTGGCCTTGTCACAACATTCTTTTGTGTGGCCAGTGTGCTCCCACCTGTAAGGCACCACATTCTCTAGCAGCCAGTTTGATTCCAGCAATGGCACTGGGGCAGTGCATCGCTGCCCAACTTTTTAGTTTGCTAAATCTTGGCCTTGATTTGCAGGTGTCTCTCTGAAGATGCTTCTTGCACAGGAGTTCTCCTGCTGCAAGGAGGACTGGGCACACTCTGAGCCCACCTTGCTATCAGCTGTCTGTAGCATTCATCTCGCAAGTAACAGAGGTCTTGGCTGTGCATCTGAGTCAGCCCGGCCTGCCTTTACGGTCAAAGGCTGTGATTCATCTGACTTATTACAGCTGCTACTTTAAGATAAGAAAAGTGCCTTATAGAGCTTATTTCTTTCCATTGCCTGCAAAGCCTCAAATGATTCACTCATATGTCTACATCTGCATTACAGATATCTATGTATGTTCAGACAAATCCCACAGAAGATGAGTTAAAATAAAGCCTGAGAGCAGAGAGAAGGGTTGAGAAAACACAGATACAAAACTATAACAGTTTAAAAGTTTATTGGTTCAGGAAACTATGCAGTTACGTGCCTTATAATGGTATTGATTAGGAGCAAAAGGTAAAGATCTATTTTTGTTCTGGTTCCCTCAGCAGGGCAGTGGGTGCTACAAATGGGGCCCTAGGCTGTGGTTCTGCCCAGCCTGCTGAGTGTCCCCAAGACGAAGCATTGCACTTCTCCAAGTCTCAGTTTCTCCCTCTGTGATATAGAGGCAGTGATAATTAACCAACTTCCTTACAAACAGGATTGGCTGAGACTGGTAAAGAGGGGAAAGGTATTTTTTAGTGGGAGAAAACTGTAGCGGATTAATAGAATAATAATCCATGAAGCTTTGTTGGCTGGCCCAGCTTCACCAAGCGTTGCATTCATGGGTTACCCTTGTGCTTGAAAGTCAACACTTCTGCCAAGAAAAAACATCTGAAGATTTGTCACCTTGCTTGAGTCTGAGCCTGCTTCTGTCTGCGGTGTAAGCCACCGGTATCGGGTCATTAACAACACTAATCCTGGTTGGAGAGAGGCTGGAGCTGGGGCGAGCAGGATGCGCTGCAAGCCGCAGGCACCTCGCCGAGCCATGAGCAGGCTCAGGCACCAAGTAATGGGGTGGGGATGATGGGCGAAAAAAATCTGCAAGGAGAAATCTTGGCAGCGGTGTGGAGGGGACTGAAGTCCTATATAAGCACAGGCCAAGACTGTTTATAGTGCCAGAGTTTCTTGGAAGACGCTAACAGAGCTTCTGCATCTAGTGAGCCCATCTCTACCCAGTGAGCTCCGCATGGCATTTTCATATACCAGTCCCCCGTCTTCTTTCAGTGGTCAGTGTATTAATCAAAGGCTATATAAAAAAGAAAACAGGACCATAGCAACCAGACTAACATAGCTGGGTGGTATCTAAACATTAAGCCCATATATATTAGAGTGAAGTGAGTTGTTTGGGGGATTACACTTCAGGTTTCCATGGAAAAAACTCCCGTAGAACATACTTCCAGCTGAAATACTATGTAAACTGAAGAGATGTTTCAGAGCTTCAGCTTGATGTTTTAATGGGTATTATCTAGCTGCTGCCAGCACTTTACAATTTCAAAATTTAGTAAAGCTGTATTTTCTCCAGGGTCTTGAATTCTGCCTATATTTGCTTTCAAAAATAATGAAGGAACAAGAAATGGCCTCTGTGATTATTCAATCATCTGCTGAGCAATCCAGAGTGAAAACAGGCAAACAAATGTTCTGGAGGTAGAAACTGGGAGAGCTGAATGTGAATACTTCAGGGCTACTTACGGCATGAGAACATTAGCATCTCTTCAAAAATGCTGTGCACACAAAGAATATACCCACTCTTCATACAGACAGTCAGAATTAATCAGAAAGAAACAGGAGCAAGAATCCCTTCAAATTAATGAAGTCATTTAACTTAAGGATTGTGGAAGAAAGACAACAACTATTGTTTTATTTCTCTAATGTATGTTTCCAGTTTCTGGTTAAAGGGGAATTCACTGTTACATAAGGAAGATACCCTCTCTATTTAGGGATGCATTGCCTCCTTTCAGCAATGCGGTGGCAAGTCATTAGCATGTTTAAAAGTAGCCTGGGTTATGCATAGGAAGGAATAGCTCTGCATTGGCAAGGAAACAGACCATATGATATTGAAGATATATATATATATATATATATATATTTTTTGTACCTTAAGTATTTAAGGTCCTTCAGGATTCCCAGTATATAAAACTCTGCTAAGTTTCAATTCACAGAGATTCTCCAGGTCATATATTTATTTTATTTTTTTCTCACTAGAGCTGGACTCTGGGGTAAGAAAAAGGTATTGTGCTGCAGAATTGCTGTACTAGTGGAAAAGAGTATTTTTCTTATCTGCTTGATGCATCTTTTTGGCTGAGTTGCATGTGCTATATGATGTTGCTAAGGTATATATTTAAT